ATTGTGTTAGTGCTTATTTGATTTTTCATGTCTGTTAATATTTGTTTCATAAAGTCGGATAGCTATTTGTTGCATATATATGTATGATTATTATCTTGGAATTTAAGTAGTGACCTTCTTTGTCTCATTTGATCAGTCTAGGCTTGAAGTTTACTGTGTCTGCAAACAGAATAGCTACCCCTGCTCTTTACTGGATTCCTGACAAATGAAGTATTTTTTTTCATCTTGTAACTTTCAGTCTATGAATTTCCTTTTTAGTTAAATGCATTTCCTGTCTGTAGCAAATTGTTGGTTCTTCTTTTTTGATCCATTCTGCTAGTCTGCTTCTTTAGATTAGTGAATTGAGACCATTTACATTGATGGTTATTACTGATATGTGTTGGCTTATCCTAGTCATATTTTCCTATCATCAGTTCCCTGTCTTTCCCTTCTGTTTAACTGGTTCCCTTGACTGGTAGCTTCCTTCCATTGGTGTTCTTGGAATTGTGGTCTTTGTTATCTCTTTCTAAAATATCTTTCAGAACATTTTGGTACAGCTGGTTTGGTGGTCATGAATTTCTTCAATTGTTCTTTGTCATGGAAGTATCTTATTTCTCCACTGATTCTTAATGATAGTTTTGCAGGGTACATCAATCTGAGTTGGAGTGACTTAAAGGTTTGTATTGAGAAGTCTGCTGTGATTCTGATGGGTTTTCCTTTATAGGTGATTTGTTTCTTTTCTCTAACAGCTTCTAATATTCTGTTGTTGTACTGAATTTCTAGGATCTTGATTATTATATGCCTTGGAATAGATTTATTTTAGTCATGGCTGATTGCAGTTCTATATGCCTCACTTATCAGTATGTCTTTTTCCATGCTGGGGAAATTTTCTCCCATTACTTCTGTGAACAGGTTTTTTATGTCCTTTTTGCTGACTCTTGCTTCTTCATTGACTCGGATCAATCTTACGTTGTTCTTCTTTGCATCATCTTGCAGCTGCTTGTTTTTTCATGGTCCCTTGCTATTTTAAAGAGATCTTTGATTTTGTGATTGCTAACTGCAATTTTATCTTCTAGGTCTGATACTGTCTTCACTTTTGTTAATTTGGCTTTGCTTTCAATGGGATTTTTAATTTCTTGTATATCTGTTTCATGTATTTTACTTCTTTCCTGTGTTGGGCATTCATGGTTTTCATTATTTTCCTAAGCTCCTCTAGTTTTTGTATCTATGTTTACTCTAGATTTGCTGAGCAGGTTCTTCATTATGATCATCTGGGTTTTTTATCTGGGAGATTATTTCTTCTCTGATTTTCTTTATAGCCTCATTCATCTGTTTATTTACTTCTACTGATATCATTTCAGAAAATTTCAGAGGGTGGCTTCTGATTTCATCTATCTCATTGTCCCCTGGATTTGTCCTGAGTGAGCTGGAGGTCTGGGATTGCATTTTGCTTCTGTGATTGTCATTTTCTATTTTTTATTTTAATTTGTTTTCTGTGTTGATGCTTTTAAGCTTCTTTGTTAGGTAGCTTTATCATTAGTATTGAGGCTTCTCTAGGAAATGTCTGTTTGTCAGAGATACATTTCAGGTGTAGCTGGCTCTTGGTCTTTGTGCCTGCCCCAAGATCCTACCTTCCAAATTGTTTGGGGATGAAAAGTTGCTCTCTATTTGGCTCATCTCCCGGTCCTTTGGTACTGAACTGTGATAATGATTAAAACCCCAGACAAACAGTGTTGTCATACAAGTATGAACAACTGATTACAACAGGTATGGCATCCTGGCTAAAGCAGTATAATTAGCAATAACAATATCATCATCACAGCCTAGAAATTGATGAACCGTGGTAACTGCTAATTTGGTACCTTTAACCATAAGAGCAAGATCTATAGTTATATAACTACATCTAACATAAATGAGGAACTTCTATGCAGTGAGTGTTCACTTAGTAGAGTGATTTTACCCTGTGGAGGAGAGAAATTTAAGAGGGAAGAGCACAAAACAGAGTGGTAAATGAAGAGAAATATAGTAGAAGCAAGGCTGAAGGGATGCATTTATATCGATAGCAAACTACACAAAGGGGTACAATTAATAGCTAAGAAATAATGATTTTGATAGAAAAAATCTATATATTTGGGGTAAGCAGAACATGGATTTTTTCACTATTTTGAAATGCTACAACTGAAAAAAATATGAGAAGGGAGAATTGTTGATGTTGTTTAAGGAAAAAAGTAGAAAGAACCACAAACTTCACATAGGCCTGAAAGATGGAAGCCAGATGAGAAGAAGCCAGGTGCGAAAGAATCCATAGTCCAAAACACAAGCTGTAGAGTCACAGAAAAAGGGTTCTGGGCAGAGGGAAGTGTGAGGCAGGTGGGCTAGGGATGATCAGAGGCAGCAGATGCCTGCAGTGGTCCTGGAAGCACCTACAAAGCACCTAGATGGGCCTGAACATGTCCCTGATGTTAAGCAACACCCAGCAGCAGCACCTGAGGACAAGCAGGAACATAGAGTAGAGGAAGGAAGCTGGAGAGAAATGCCCTTAAGTGGCAAGAGACAACCAGGAAGAGTAGGAAGAATCCAGCCTGAAGGACAGGTTCACCTTGTCTAGCTGCAGGTCCTCCTGAGAGGCAGGACTCAGTGAACAAAAATAACATCCATAGCTGGGGAAAAGGGACAAATGAAGGCTGAGCATGCCTCTGCAGAGGATCAAACATGCAAAAGAAATTGAATATCCCACAAGGGAGGTAACAAGGAGAAATGACTGATAGCTAAGAGACAGACCATAAACAGATGTTTAAAGTATCCTCAATATTCCCCAACAGAGATACCATCAGGAAATTCACAAAATGAAAATAGGCTGTGATAAATGTAAAAATCACAATGACAGCTCAATAGTTAAACTTCAGAGCACACATTAACAATGCTAAGAATATGAGTGAGCTACAAGACCAAGCTGAGGAATTTTCCTAGATGTAAAAAGCTATTGGAAGAAGGATAAAGGAAAGAAGAGGCCAAGACAGAGATCAAGGGCCAGCCGGCCAGCCAGCCAGCCTGCCTGCCTGACTGCCTTCCCACCTTCCTGTCATCCTTCCTTCCTTGATGGGGCCTTGCAAAGACAGTGAAGTAAAAGAGACAGGAGAAAGTAGCCAAGACCTAGACCCAGACATGGGGTTCCTGAGAATAAAAAGGCCTCAGCTACTAAACAGAAGAAATGGAAAAATACCACAAAGGAACAATAGATATTGCCTAGGATGAAATTAAAAACTTCTGGAAAACTAAGGAGGAAAAACTTAGGGATCACCAACAAATAGGGAAAATACTGTTTGCAATATGTGTAACAAACAAATGCTAATGCTGGAAATTACAACCAAGTACAAACTGTTAGAAGAAAAACACTCAATTGAATACTGGATCTTTTCTAAAAAACCAATGTCTACAATCCTCCCAATGGCCTACAAGGTAGTTAACATGACTTTCCCTATTTTATAAGGCAGAAGAGGATCCACAACATTTTTTAAAGGAACTAGGGATGAATGAAGAAGCCAAGGTTTGACCCCTAGCAGACTGGATCCACTGACTGCTCTTAAAAACACACTCTTTTTAAGCAAAGTATATAATATTCTCCCCTGTGTTGAGCCAGGCACAGTGTGTTCATCACAGCATCATTGTCATGGTTTGTGCCAATATGTTTCCTAACACCTCATGCAGTCATAGGTGGGGCTTTTTATCAAAGGTTGTTGGATGTAGAATGTATTGATGCTGGGATTAAGGGTGGGTGATTACTAAATCAGTCCACTGATTCGTTTGCCACCACCCTAATCCCAGTATCCTAGATACAATATAAAAGGAGCAGAAAGAAGCTGCTAAGGTCACTTGCTTACTCTCAGCTGCCTGCCATGCCATGGACTGCTTCTCCTCTGTGAGGCCCCTCTGGCATGCTGCCCTGCCTTGGAGTCAGCCAACTATGAACTGAAACCTCTACAAACTGTAAGTCAAATAAATCTTCCCTCCTTTAACTTTGAGTGTTGAGTATTTTGTCTCAGCAAGGAGAAAAGTAACTAACACAATCATTTATACTCCAGAGGCAGCAGGAGAAAAACAACTAGTGGACATTTATCCATTTATTTATCCATTCATCAGTGGAGAATGGATAAATAAGATATGGTGGAGTGTCATGTATTTGAAGGAAATCAAACATATTTACATGGAAAACCATGGTCAACCTTGATGATATGTTATAAAGTAAAAAAAAAGGAGCTTACTGTGAAACAATGTGGATATTACAGTCCCAACTTAATTTAAAATATATATATATATATATATATATATATATATATATATATATATATATATATAGGCACGTGTAAAAGGCAAACAAAGCAGTCACAATCAGACAGAAGAGTCCAGAGGAATTCAAGGCAAAACAGATATAATTTAAATGGCATTTGCATCAGTTTGTACTTTTGATGATTTTAACCTTAAAGTCTATTCACATCTTTCTTTCTCTGTCTGTTAATGTGTGTGGGTTTTACTGAAAATTGAACCCAGGGCCTTTGGATTAAGCTACAACCCCCACATTTAAAAAAAAATTGAGACAGTTCTCACTAGGTAGCTAAGCTGTCCGTGCTGGACTCAAACTTGTTGTCATCCTGCTTCAGCCTCCAAGGGTGCTGGGATTATACACATGAACTACCACACCCAGGTATTCTCATCTTTTTCATAGATAATTTAAAAAGTAGGATCATGGGAACATTTTTGGAACAGCATGTGCCTGCTGTAAAGCTGTCACAGTTACCTAATTTCAGTCTAAAACAACTTTGTGTGCTCGTTAGAATTTTTAATAATAAAGAAGGTTAAGAAGGCTCAATGTGTTCAAACAGTTCTCTGCAAATATCTTGTACCACGAAAGGCTTAGATTTGAAATTCAGTGTGTCCTGATCCCGGCTGACAACTCACAACTTCTACAAGAGGGAGAGGAGAGAGGGTCGCGGACCAAAGAGCACCCATGGGTGCAGCCTTACCACAGCGATCTCGGACCACCAGGTTGCGGCCTTCCTTCAGGTGGATGGTGAGAAGGTACGCAAAAGGGCTGGGAAGGTTACTCAAGCCATCACCAGCTTCCCCAAGAGCCTGCAGAGATGAAAAAAACATTTATGTCAGGAGGTCTCAGGCTCAAGTAGAAGAATTTCTGCCTAGGCAGAGATATTCTTAATTGAAGGGAGAAAAAGAGGTTCACAACAACAGTCAAGTGTCATCTTGGACTCCTACTCACTGACAATTCAGTTATGTTGTTTTATCAGAAGTCCTTTATATTTCCCTCAATAGGATCTTATCTGAATTCAGAAGCAATCATGATTATATCTGCGCTAGGTGAACTTTCAAAAAATTAGATAAGCAAATTGCCAGTGTAGGAAATACCCTGAAAAACATCAACTGACTGTGAGATTTTTTTTTTTAATTAAAACTCACGATAAAGCAACAAGAGAGGAAACAGTGTCAAAATGTAGTTGCAAGGCTGGGTCCCACCAACATATGTTTGCACATCAAGCTCAGGTATAAAATATCTCCTTTCTCTTCTCCACCTTCCCTAGAAACCCCACCACCTCTGGTAGGCCTCCTCTGCCTGTGATGAAATTTCCTTTTGCGTCCATTCCCAAGCCCATTTCTTTCAGCCACCTGCTCCTTTCCTCTGTCCACAGGGGACCCTCGGTCTCTTCCCAGCACTCTCCTGCTGAACCACATTTGTCTGTCACATACCATTAGCATCTCCTCCTCTGAGCCCCACAAACTCACTTCCCCTGGCTCCATAGCTTCCCTCTCCATCTTTCTCAACTCCAATGGACCATCATGCAAAGTCAAGTCTGCTTCTATAAAGCTACTGCATGAGTGAAACGAAATTGTTGAGGTGTTTCAAATTTTTGCTTTTCCTCAAAGAGCACGGATGAAATTATTTATCATTCACTTATCAGACATTCAATTAATTGATCCCATGGCCAAAGCTGCCCTTGACAGCCTTCTTCTTAAAGTTTCAGAGGACTTCAAAATGGCTCTGTCTCCTTTACAATCTCACTGTTTCTTTGATCCTGTGTATTTTTAGAAGAATCTGTTCCACTCTAACCAATCAATAGACACTGAATTAATCTCTTTCAGGTAAAATTTGCAAGGTCTGATTATGTAGGTGGACAGATTACAACATTCTTTGGGGAAAAAAAGGTTAAGAAGTACAAACATTTGAGAAGTATTTATGATGTCTAATGTTAATTTTTAAGTAACATCACTCACAGATTGTTCTTCAAAATGTTGGGATGTCATGGAAGCGTTCAAGTCACCATTGCCCGGTAGTTTCTGCAAAGGAAAAGGAGAAAAGGAAAGTCTACTTTTAAAAAGCAAATGAGTTATCAAGCCATGACAATATCTTCTTTCTGGTCTTTCCCCTTGGAAATCTGATATTTGCATACCCAGTTTCGGGTGTGTGGGCTGCCTTCCTGTGTGGCAAGAAGAGCTGACCTGGGAGGCATCAATCTGGCCATTTAAGTCACTGACTGGAATGTGGCTAAGGGCAATTATGTCTCCACCACACCTTGGGCAACCCTGCTTCATCCACATGCTTTGTAAGTAAAGCTTTGGAGTCAGTGTAGGAAGAACAGCAGCAGACCGTCCTGTCAGATGGCCCCCACGTGCCCCCTAGCCTCCAGAGGGAAATGGGCAGCTCAAGATCGAGAGACCTGAGCTGCCCACAAAATAGGCATCATTTCAAAATGTGATCTGAAAGATCTTCCTCAAACCAAATCTTCAGAGTCCAGCAAATCTACCATCATGGACCCCAAAGTAGGATGTACAAATTCTGAACAAATGATCTCACACTGGGAGGTGTCTGCTTCCTAACATACATATGCCTCTCACCCCAGGGAAATGGTCCAGAAGGCAATGCAATATGCATCTCTCAGTGGTCAGGATGGGGTACACAGACTTCACACCTGTGCCAGGACTTCTGTGCACAAATGAGGGAATGTGTGTAAGAGCTGCAAGACTTAGTGAGGTTCCTGGGCTGAGCATGAGCAGTCGTGCTGTGAAGTGCCCCTGGAAGCCTCATGCTGCCTCTGTAGAAAGAGGCCTAGCCCTCCACATGGGGCTCAGCATGCCAGCAGACAAGAAGGGGGCAGCAAAACAACCTCTCTGGCTCCTGGTATCTCCTGTATGGGTTGTGTGTCAAAAGACACCCAGGTTAGTTCTGCAGAAGAGTCTGAAGACTGTTTTGTGACAATGATCAGAAACTTATTTACCTTTCTTAATGTCAAAAGATTTTATTCCATGCCTGTAGACTATCCAATTCCATAAATCCAATCAATTTCTCCCCAATCTGCTATGCCCATAACCATGCCTTCTCTTGCGGAACTAACAGTAACCACTGCTCTCTGAGGTTCTACAGCCTGAAAGTCCCCCACTATTGTCTCCAGTTTCATCTAATGAATTAGGGCCCCACTTGACCAATCCTGCTTAAAGATGATGCTGTAAAACTACAGGCAGCAGGATCAGAACCTCTGTTTAAACTCTATGTTATTAGGCCAGAATCAAATGGGTTGGTATCTTCCAATTTTAATTGGAGGCATGGCTGGATAGATGCTTAAACCTCCTCCTCCCTCAGACAGATCAGCATGCCATATGTATTCTCTCAGGATTGACTCAGTGTGCTTAATGATGATGTTAATTAAATGGCAAAATTATTCTACATCACTACCATCATTTACAGGCTATCAAAAATGAAGAAAAATCTTCTACTTAAATATGTGGTAAGTCTTCCACTTACAGCAACAGGGAAATGCAGTGGGAGGAATGACATTAATTCAAGATTACGGCTGGTTTGACTCACAGAAAAGTCACAGAACTTAAAGTTATGGTTCCCATAGCCACTGTAACTGTCACACACCATATATACACACAAAAGTAGGAATAGTTACTGTAAAGAAAAGCAAAATGTTCCATATGCACAAGAGGACAAGTTACGACCACTGGGGGACACATAACTAAATATTCCCCTACACTGTTGCATAGAACCTAACCATTATCCACGGAGTAGATGTGTTATTTTTACCTCTTTTATACATCTAAACTAAATCATCAACTTAATTTTTCCATTAAAAAGCGGACAACTAATATTTATGTCACTAAGTAAACCGGGATCATTAGATTTTTATGTTCTCCATAAGTAAAATTAAGCATTCAAATATGCTTTAAGTTTGCTTTTAAAAAACACAGAGTAAAATTGACATTTTCCCTGTGAGATTACTATGATTTTCAACTTATATGAATAATCCTTTACAATCAGGGTGTTGTTGAACAGGTCTATCACCCCAAAAATCTCATTTATGGTATCCTACTATGGTAAAATAGCCCCTCAACGTCTAGCTCAGGACAAATACTGATCTCTTTATATAGTTTTATCTTTTCCAGAATACTACAGCAATAATCATATGGCATGCAAACTTTTGTATCTGTCACTTAGCACAATGTCTTTCAAATCATACAAGTGGTCAGCTGTATTATTATTATTATTATCATTATTATTTTTTGGTACTAGGGATCGAACTTGGGTCCTTGCGCTTGTGCAGCAGGTGGTGAAACCACTGAGTTAAATCCCCAGCCCAGCTGTATTATTATTTTTATTGGTGCATAGTATTCTATCATGTGGAGTAGTTTGTTTATCCACTAAATATCGGTTTTAACAATCTTAAACACATTGATTGAAGTACATACTCAGGAAAAGGGAAATAATTAGAAATTCAAATCTAATAAAACTCAACATGACAAAAGCTGTTCTTACAAAAGCATTCAAAAATATAGCATTACCTTCCTGGCATCAACAGTGGTATAAGTATAGTCATCCTTCACATGGTTCTTAGCTCTGCCTTTTAAATGACTGTTTTTTAAATTTTGTTGATAGTTTGCATTGATATTTCCATTCCACCTTACGAAATTGAAATTTAAAAGAAGGTAGTATATACTTTGCATTCCCTTTAAATGAGGCTCCCCCATCTACAAGAATGTAAATGTACTAAGATTCAGCAAGACATGGGAGGATAAGCTAATGAATGCATCAATTATTTTAGAAAGAACATCTCTAGTCACTAAGGATTTCAAGAGCAAGGCATTGATGTGAATAAACATTTTCCTTTTGTATACATGAACTGTGATCTTATACAAATACCACCTCCCATGTGACTGTCAGAAGATCTTACCATGAAGTACACACAGGAAGCCACATTAAAAACTACGTAAGCAAGCATTGGCTCCCTAAATTTTAGTGGAAGAAAACACACCCACCCATATCCAGAAAAACTAAATAAGAGTAAAATTCTTGCTGAGATGATGCATCATTTCATCTTTGAAAACCAATGCAAAAGTACAAGAATGAAGCAAAGAATATACATATATGCAATACATTTTAATTAATTCTGTAACCCACTCTCAGCTTTTGAGTACAAAAATACTTAAGAGTATAGAAGTCACAAACCCAAATACCTACAGGACATAGAAAATAATAAAATAAGCAAAAGGGAATGAATGATCAGACTGACCATTAAGCAGCCTCCAGACAAAGTTGCAATAAAAAGTGAGCCATATGGCAATTAAAGATCAAAATTAAGACATTTTAATAGGGCCTACCAAATATCTGAGTCTGTTCATATTCAACTTTTTTACAGCCTTTCAGAAGATACTTTATTGTATAAAATACATATATACATCCCTATATAAGTGTGTTTCTCTCATTCTCATGATTGTTCTATAAAAGGAATAACCCTGGAATACTTTCTAATTTAATATGCATAATGTAAACTATGTGTTTATATTTTGCTCAACTACCTATTATAAAACTGAAGTTAGCCAATTACAGCCTGACCCAAATCCAGCCCATTACTTGTTTTCACAAGCAAAATGTAACTGAAAACTATCCCTGCTTCCTCATTTATATATTGTCTACGCCTGATTTCATGCTACAACATCAGAACTGAATAGTTATGACAGACACTTTATGTATGACCACAAATCCAAACGTACTTATTATTTTCCAGAAAATGTGTGCTAATCCCTGGTATAATGCTCTAAAACTTCGATTTGCATTTCACTATTTGTCCACTGACCTTCCATAAACGTTTGCTTGCTTATTTGAAAGATATTTTAAAAGAATAATTCCCTTTATATTCTCTTAGCATTTCCTAATTCACAAATATGTACTCCCATTTTCTTACCATGAGGAGTCCACAGGCTGCCACCAGTAGCACCAATTTACAAATCAAGAAGCCAGAGCTGGGGGCTAAGTGGCTGCAAAGAGAAGCAAGGGAGCCAGGCCTTCAGGGGCAGCCTGAGTCCTCCTGCTCATCCTCCCTCTCATCACTGCACGACAACTCTGCCCAAGGTTGGCCCACCTTGCCTGGCACGAAGAGGATGGCACTAATTAATAGTCAAGATGCCTCTGGACTCCCAGAGACCTGGATCCAAATTGCACTTCTGCGATTTAGCTCTGTGTCTTTGAAAATGTGACTTTTAAAAAATTCAAACGTGGGTACTTCTTTCAAACGGTCACAAGAGATATTCACCTTACGTTATTAGAAGACAACTTCTCTGGGCAAAGCCCTGTGCTCGGCAGGCATTCTGTATACAGAATAAGCCAAGTGGACGTAGTCTAGGAAGATGGCATTTATACAGCACTTACTTAGCATAGTTCCTTACACATAACTTCCCATAAAGTGGTATTAGATTGGTGTTGCTGCTACTATTATTATATTATTATTCTGATGTGTTTAAGTGTATAGCAAAAGACTCCATGAAAATAAAAAGATGGAAATGTTCCCTAACCTGACTTGCTATACATGTATCAGATTATAAGACTGTACTCCATAACATGTATAGTAATAAGAAAAATTTAAGTCCATGAGGGTGGCTCACAACACATGTCCCTCCCTTAATTCCCACTAGCATTAGCAGCTGACACTGTCTCCATGACCAGTGACAGGGCTGGCTGATGAAGCCTTTGGACAGTGCCAGGTGCCCAGCAGCCCACACCCCACTTCCTCCAAGCTCCAGGCCCCAGCTAAGCTTCCACGTACACTGTCCACAGCAGACAGCAAGCATTGCCAACGTGCGTGACTCATCCTGCCCTGCCTGAGGGTGACAGCAGTGAGCTCAGGAGCTCCTTTGCAACCTGCCTGGGCAGAGTACCAGGGAGTCTCTGTAGTCTTCAGAGTCACCTGATAGGATGGGAAATGCCCAGATGACATGGCCTCAGTTACTTCCCTGACATCTCCTGCCACTGCCCTTCAGCCTGTCTTCTCCGGGGACAGTGCCAC